AATAATAATAATAATAATAATAATAATAATAATAATAATAATAATAATAATAATAATAATAATAATAATAATAATAATAATATCAGTCAGTCAAAATGCATCATCAATGAATAAAAGGAATAGATAGAAATCCATTCCACACTTGTGAGAAAGATATTCAACAAGTTAGTTAGATCTAAGTACAGGTAGTCCTCAACTTACAGCAGTTCATTTAGTGACCGTTACAATGGTACTGAAAAAAGTGACTCCTTTTTTTCACACTTAGGACCGTTGCAACATTCCCTACGGTCACGTGATCAAAATTCGGACGCTTGGCAACTGACTTATATTTATGACGGTTGCAGCGTCCCAGGGTCGTGTGATCCCCTTTTGCGACTTTTCTGACAAGCAAAGTCAATGGGGAAGCCAGATTCACTTAACAACCATGTTACTAACTTAAGAACTGCAGTGATTCACTTAAGAACTGTGACAGGAAAGGTCGTAAAATGAGGCAAAACTCACTTAGCGACTGTCTCTCTTAGCAAGGGAAATTTGGGGCTCAATTATGATGGTAAATCAAGAACTACATGTATCAAAAATAAAACTGATAAATAAATACAGTTTAGGGATGAGGTTGCAGAGTTAGACATTCTGGGTTCGAGTTCCCACTGGATCCCACGATTCACTGGGTAAATTTGCCCCGTCCTCTTTTCCTGACCAGCCTACCTCACAGGGTTGTTGTAAAGTAGGGGGAGTTTGTATGCGTGTCACCTGGACTCTCTTGAAAAAAGTGAGGTGTAGACGGATCAAATCTACCCATAAATAATCTTTTGTCAGATTTATGGAGTGTATATTGGAGGTGGTGACCCTTTGAGAGCTGAATGAGATGAAATTTCATTTTAATTATATGTTGATTAGTGTACATTTAAAGTGACAATAAAGTTATTCTATTCTATTCTATTCTATTATTATTTTGTTATTCTATTCTATTCTATTCTATTCTATTCTATTCTATTCCATTCTACAGTATATTCTATTCTATTCTATTCTATTCTATTCTATTCTATTCTATTCTATTCTGTTCTCAATCAGAATAGAACTGGAAGGGACCTTGGAGATATTCTAGTCCAAAGGCCTCCAGCTTTTTGGGCATCAGGGATTGTTTCTTTGGAGAAATATTTTTTTGACTCCAGATCTTATTAGAAATAATAGTATAGAACAGAACAGAAGCACCCACAACTTCTGGTGGCCAGCTGTTCCACTGATTAATTGTCCTCACTGTTAGGATGTTTCCCCTAACAGTGAGGACAATTAACCAGTGGAACAGCTGGCCACCAGAAGTTGTGGGTGCTTCTGTTCTGTTCTATACTATTATTTCTAATAAGTCAAGATCTGGAGTCAAAAGAATGAGAACCTCTGGTTTTTCGGTTCCGGCCCCATTCACACAAGCACCAAATTTGGGAGGCCCCTCTTAGCGAGAGCTGAACACTTTGCTGTGCTTTGCACACCACACAATACCACAATGGGCTTACCTGACTTTCTCTGCTGGTGTGATAGAAATATAGAGTCGAGCCCCAAAGACCGGCCCAGTATTTCTTATAATCCTATAAAAATAAAAGAGAACAGAGGAATGATTAAACGGGATTATCTTGAAACAGGAGAGGATTCGATCCCACAGTCCCGTCCGCCATCTTGACTTTTTTGCCCCCCCTACTTCAGTCAACAACTGACGGATACAGCTAAGTCGGACTTTTTTTTTGCAACTTCCGAGATTTCCACAGAGAAAAAGTTCTATTTATGTTCCATGTTTTATTTTCTAACACTTTCCACAAGAGTCGTTTCCCCTGAAGCCCACCACCCAGGAGTCAACGGACAGCCCCTGTCAATGCTGAATTAATACAGGTAGTCCTCAAGTTACAACAGTTCATTTAGTGACCAGTCAAAGTTACAGAGGCACTGAAAAAAGTGACTTAGGACCGTTTTTCACCTGTACGACCGTTGCAGCATGCCCACGGTCATGTGATCAAAATTCAGACACTTGGCAACTGACTCATATTTATGACGGTTGCAGCATCCCGGGGTCATGTGATCCCCTATTGCGACTTTGCTGACAAGCAAAGTTGATGGGGGGAAGCCGGATTCGCTTAACGACTGGGTGACTACCTTATCAACTGCAGTGATTCACTTAACAACTGTGGCAGAGAAGGTCGTACAATGGGGGCAAAACTCACTTAACAACTGACTGCTTAGCCACGGAAATTTGGGTCTCAATGTTTGTCGTAAGTCGAGAACTCCCTGTACTGGAGTTTCTATTTGATCAAATTTCTCCGGTGGCTTAATTAGAGGATCATTTCAGAGGAGAGAAGCAACCTAATCAAGGAGAGAAGCAACCTAGAACTAAGGAGAAACTTCCTGACAGTGAGAACAATTAACCAGGGGAACAACCTGCCTCTAGAAGCAGTGAATGCTCCAACACTGGAAGTTTTTAAGAAGAGACTGGACAGCCATTTGTCCGAAATGGTATAGGGCTTCCTGCCTGAGCAGGGGGTTGGACTAGATGACCTCCAAGGTCCCTTCCAATTCTATTCTATTCTATTCTATTCTATTCTATTCTGTTCTGTTCTGTTCTGTTCTGTTCTGTTCTGTCCTGCTCTATTCTATTCTATTCTGTTCTGTTCTGTTCTGTTCTGTTCTGTCCTGCTCTATTCTGTTCTATTTCTATTTCTATTTCTATTTCTATTTCTATTTCTATTTCTATTTCTATTTCTATTTCTATTTCTATTTCTATTTCTATACCATTTGTCCAAAATGGTATAGGGTTTCCTGCCTGAGCAGGGGGTTGGACTAGAAGATCTCCAAGGTCCCTTCCAATTCTATTCTATTCTATTCTGTTCTGTTCTGTTCTGTTCTGTTCTGTCCTGCTCTATTCTGTTCTGTTCTGTTCTGTTCTGTCCTGCTCTATTCTATTCTATTCTATTCTATTCTGTTCTGTTCTATTTCTATACCAGAAATTTCTATTTCTACCAGTTGCCAAGCGTCCGAATTTTGATCATGTGAACACGGGGTGTGTGTGTGCTGCAACGGTCCTAAGTGAATTGGGACCTTTTTTCAGTGCCTCTGTAACTTTGAACGGTCACTAAGTGAATTGTTGTAAGTTGAGGACTATTTGTAGAAAAATAAACAGTCAACAGGTGAACCCAAACATTACACTAATCTTCAGATTGTGAAGGCAGGACAAGAAGCAACGGATGGAAACTAGTCAAGGAGAAAAGCAACCTAGAACTAAGGAGAAACTTTCCGCCAGTGAGAACAATTAACCAGTGGAACAACCTGCCTCCTGAAGCAGTGAATGCTCCAACACTGGAAGTTTTAAAGAAGAGACTGGACAGCCATTTGTCCGAAATGGTATAGGGTTTCCTGCCTGAGCAGGGGGCTGGACTAGATGACCTCCAAGGCTCCTTCTATTATTATTATTATTATTATTATTATTATTATTATTATTATTATTATTATTATTATTATTATTATTATTATTGAATGGTAACTTAAATAGTGACTCGTTCCATGTAAAGGGCTGGGAAGAATTGGCCCATAACATATTTATTCCCCCAGGAAATAAGAGAGACAGAGACCCCACTTTTTACAGCCTGAGAAACTAGGGAGGGTCCCTCCTGATTCTCTTTCTACATCCTTTTATACAGGTAGTCCTTGACATACGACCGCAACTGAGCCCAGCATTTACGTTGCCAAGCGAGAACTTTATGAAGTGGGTTTTGCCCCGTTTTACGACCTTTCTCGCCATCGTTGTTAAGTAAACTGCAGCAGCCGTTAGTAACCTGGCTTCCCTCCACTGATTTTGCTTGTCAGAAAGTCGCCCAAAGGGGATCGCGTGACCCCCGGGGACGCTGCGGCCGTCCTAAATAGGAACCAGTTGCCAAGCGTCCGAATGTAAGTCACGTGACCACAAGGAGGCTACAACAGTCGTTAAGTGTGGAACCTGATCATGAGTCACGTTGTAGCTTCGAACAGTCACTAAACGAACTGTCGTAAGTCGAGGACTAACTGTACAGCTGAGGGCTACGCCGCCTCTTGTCTGCCCGTTCCTAGGAATCAATACATCATCCGTCTCTCAAAGGGGGTTGGACTAGAAGACCTCCAAGGTCCCTTCCAGTTCTGTTTATTCTGTAATTCTATCTTTCTCACAGATCCTTTACACTTCTGATAAACCAAGCCAGGCTGTTTGATACCCCCCTCCCCGATTAAAATTCAGACCCTGCCCTTATCTACCCCAGGAGGGGGGGGAACAGCTGTATTTCCCTCCCCCAGATGTGCCCAGCTTAGCCTCCGTTCTGGGGTTGTTGTTTTTTTCCCCCCACGCTCTTTGGCTCCTGTTTCTTCTCCCTAAGCAGCCCAGAGAAGGATACCTGATTCCACGAGTTCTTTTTCTCCAGGAAGCCCTCGTAGTAGTGGGGGGGCAGAGCAGCGGCCTTGGCTTTGGCTGACCACTGGCGCGGGGCGGCCATCGCTTCCTGCCACTCTGGCCGGGGGAATCCAGTGAAGGAAGGACTCTCCCTTCTTCTCTCTCTGCTCTGCAGAGTTGAGGAATCTGCACCAGGAAGCAAAAAACGTAATAAATTCAGCCACACTGATTTTTATTTTTTTTTCCTCCCCCCCCACCCCAGGTTGGCAGCCACCTGTAATTTCCCCGGGGCCGTCCCCTCGGCTGGTGTCCTTGGTCGGTCTGGACCTTGGACAGCAGAAGAGCCACCCCCCCCCCAGGTGTTTTTGCCAGCTGGTTCTTCCTCGCTTGAGTTCACACGAAGAAAGGAAGGAAGGAAGAAAGAAAGAAAGAAAGAAAGAGAGGCTGGCTTTTGTTCCGATGATGCAGACGATTCATTTAGCCTGGCCGGTTGGTCTCAGCCGGCTGTGGCGATTCGTATCCGGCTCTGCCTCGGTTTTCCAAATGGAGGAGAAGAAAAGGGGAGAAGAGGAGCAGGGTTTCCTGAGAACGTGCAGAAAGCTTTCTGTCGAGAAGCCTCTTTGGGCGATTTTGGCAAAGTGGGGGGGGGGCGAGGTTTGAACTCCTGGACAGAGGTCGAAACCAGCCTGTTGCGGTTGGGGAAATTGAGGCTGAGCTCCTGAGGACCATCAGGGGGCAGGAGGAGACAGAGAGAGAGAGAGAGAG